ATCTGTCCTACCTTGAGTTTTTGAGGTGTACTCAATGCTTATGAAACTTTAATGCGCTTAGGATCCATTTAAAAATCTTGCTAAAGTCAGAGTGTGATTTTGCAGTTCCAACATCTCCCAGGTGAATCCAATTCTACTGGTCTGCAGACTACCTTGCAGTAGCAAGTTCTCTCTAGCTGTGTGATGGGTGATAGATTGGCAGAGGACAAGACTGGAACCAGGTGATCTGAAATAAGATCATGGCAGCAAAGAGAAACCTGTTGTTGTCAAGTCCATTCTGACTCATGGTGATACCACGTGTGTCAAAGTAGAACTGTGCTCCCAACTATGCTGAGTTTGTAAAAGTAGATCACCAGTTATTTCTTCTGAGGTACCTCTGGGTAGATTTGAAGCTCCAACCTTTCAGTTACCAATCAAGCACTTTAACCTATTATACGAATCAAGGAGTCCCGGTGTGACACTGAAGATAAAGCACTGGACTGCAAGGGCAGTTTGAACTGCAAGACCAGTGGTGCAAACCTACCGACCACTCCTTGGAAACCCTATACAGGATCACTATGAGTCAGAACTGACTTAATAACACCACCACTTCCACTCTGGGATTCCACAGTAAAGATATAGCAGTAGCAATGAAAAACCATGTCTAGCTATATCAAATTAGAAATTAGATACAACAACAACAAATTAGAAACAACAACAACAAAAAAGAGTTAGGGTATGGGTCCCTACCACTGTGAAAAGCAAATAAACTAACTAGGTTCAGTATTTGAATATAGTTCACTTTTAGAAATTTACTTTACAGCAAAAGACATGCAAAAATCTTTAGATAGAAATCCTGGCTTTTTTTTGTGTGTGTGTGTAATTAATTTTTTTTTTGGTGAAAATATACACAGCAAATGATACACTATCTGAACAATATTTACCTGTATCTTTCCTCCTGCCCCATCCGTACACAAAGCCAGAGTGTGTGCATACTGGATGAAAGGCATTTGATCTCTGGTTGTTGGTCCAAAGATGTTACTGCTGGGCATCTGTTGTTCCTTCGCCTCTTCAGATCCATTAGTCATTGGCTGGCTGTTGGCAACCTTGTGTTACAAAGTTCTTTTCCCTAGCTGCCTGCAGTGCTGGCTGTCTAGACTTGTCATCTCCTCAGGGGTCTTGCAGGGAAGCAGGGCAAAATACTGTACGAATTTCTTTCAAAATACTCTGAATTTCTTTCAGAGCCCACAAACTGCTCTGTGTTCTGCTCTTTTTATGGAAAAGACATCTTTTTGTGCTGGTGTGAGAAACTCCATTCTCATTGCTTTGCTGTATAAGATGCTTGGTCCGTGCATACAAAACCCAGATGACTTGCAAGCCATTTCTGCTTTCTGCTCTGCCCTGCGTCTCCTCTGAGGCAATGCACTTACACTCTCTGCTTGAATCAGGAAAAGGAAGAAAACAGGGAAGTTACTTTATTGTTTTATTCAGCCATCTACACATGCAAATATATTTCTATTTTGTAGTTGTGTTCACATTATGCATTCAAAGCTTGCAGTTAACTTTTTTTTTTTTTTACCTACAACCAATGTAGCCATTTTAAATTTCAAGGAACATATTTATGTCCCAAAAAAACTATTATGAGCCCCTATGGATTTCATGTAGTGACATGGTTTTTGCTAAATTATAAGTTATATATACTGTCCAAGATCTAAAAAATGCATAGTCTTATTCAATAATCAACATTTTTATTAATTTCTGCAGAACTGAATGCCAAAGGAGCCATCCTCTATGCCTTTGAAATGTTCCGACTCAGGTCTTGTGTGGATTTTAAGCCCTATGAAGGCGAGAGCTCATATATCATATTCCAGAAGTTTGAGGGGTTAGTATGAAATTTTAGTGTGAAAATCACATATATTACCCGTTGGTTTATAGAAAATGACACATCTCTTTTAAAGGTTAAAGAAGAATTTGGAAAGAAGCACAAAGTAAAATTAAATCTCTCATTGTGAATCTTTAAATTATGTAACATTTTTAACATGCTGTTATAAGAACAGTGGTTTGGATACTTCTGGGCCCTGGAGAGGTTTGTCTTAATTCTTTTCTTAGATTAAGGCTGTACTTTAAATTATAGTATTTAAAAAAAAATGTGCTATGTATATAACAAAATGTTCATCATTTTAACATTTTTAAATGTACAATTGTAAAAAGGATGACCTGGGGCTGTGTCTGACCTCCTCTGATTCCATAAGGGGGAAGGAGGAGAATCACCATCAGCATTAGCCCAAGTCTAATTCCCTTGAAGCAGGGGCCAGATGGGCCTCCACCCTCCACTCTTCTGTACTAATTCTGACACCAACCTCCCTCCTGTAACTCTCTACTTCTCATCTTGGCTCAGTAATTCATTGTAATGACTATACAGAACTCACAATGTTCATGGTTATGGGGTTTATTAGATAAATCAACAGGAAATAATTCAGAATCAGAAATGCTCAAGACACAGTTATTTCAGTCAAGGCAGCCTCTTCTCAGCTATGGGGGCAGATACACCTGTCTCTGGTCCTTGGCCTCTGCCCTACTCAGTCCGTGTTACAAGGCTCTTTTAGAGCTGCAGATAAATGCCCAAAAGACACTCCATTCAGCTATAAGCCCTAGTCTGAAGATGCAGCTACAGTTCAGTGAGTCCTGTAAACCTAGCCCCGACAGTGCCTGGAGGTACCCCTCTCCACAAATGAGCCTCCTGTCCAAAGGCTCTGTTTATTCACTCCATGGGAGAGGAGAGAGTCCTGATGTGGCACTGTAGGATAAGCACTGGACCCTAAAGTTGGTTTGAACTGCTAGGTCGATGGTTTAAACTCACTAACCACTTCTCAGAAGCCCTACACAGGGTCACTATGGGTTAGAAGTGACTCAATGACACTTGACAACAACAACAACAATGGGAGAGGAAGCCCATTACTCTGTGTCATGTTCTAACTCTTGGTTCTGTTGCTGCTGACCCTCTGTTACTGCTCCTCAACTGGTTCTCCAATATCACAGCTTTCGTCCCTGGGTCAATGAGTTCAATATGCAGGGGGCTCAGGGTCAAAAGGGCGTGCTCACTCTTGGCTCATCTTTCTTGATAGTAATGAAGTCCAGCCCCCTCCCCCCACCATCTAATGCTAAGATGGCTCCTTTTATACCCATCAGGATGGCAAAATTAATCATGTTAGAGTTCTAAGTTTTATAATCACAATTAGCTTTGTTAACAATCACTCACAACTGAATCATATCATCCCATCAGCGTCTTCTCCTACATTCTATCAGGATAAAAGACCTTAGTGAGGAGTGAAAAAGACTGTGGCTAAAGAAGACATATTAAATAGCTAACTGCAACACAGCATTTCAGTGACATTAATTATATTTACCATGTTATTTAGACACCACCACTATTTGTTTTCATTTTTTCCCCATTACCCTTAACAAAAAATTGACTGAACAAATGACTCTTTTTACCTCACTTCCCTATCCATGGTTTGTTGTTGTTAGGTGCCATCAAGTCGGCATCAACCCATAGCGACCTATGCACAGCAGAACAAAACACTGCCCGATCCCGGGTCAACCTCACTACTGTTATCACACTTGAGTCCATCGATCCTGTCACTTAGCCAACCCATCTCATTGGCCATTGTTACAATTAATAAACTTTGGTCTCTACGCCTTTGTCTATTCGAAATACATCCATGTAAATGGGATCATGTGATTTCGTGTATATTGTTAGAGGTTTCTATCAGTCATAGAAATGGAAATAATAACCAAAATAATTTGAATAGTTTCGTTTTATGTGAAGGGAAAGCATTTAACATACATTTGAGGTCTTGCCAAGACCATAGAATTTGAAGGTTTTCTGCCTTTGACTAACCACGTCATCTGTCCCTTGGCAACCTCTGGGCTTCTATACTGTTGTTTTTATTAATTGCCTGCTAGTTGTTCTGACTCATAGCATCCCTGTCTAGGGTTTTTAAAGAGCAGCTGGTGGGTTTCAACTACCAACCTTCCAGTGAGCAGTTCTGTATTTATCCTACAAACTCACACCAGCGCTAGCTGGGCTTCTATAAAGAACCAAAAATCTTTAATTATTCAATTACAATTTCAGAAAAAAATCCATTTCTTAACCTTTTTATTTCCATTCCTTACCTTTTTATGCATCACTTTTTATTTTCATGGAGAAACATCTTTCTCTTAAGAACAAAGCAAAGTCAGTATGATCACATTCCAAAATCTATTTCCCACTGAAATTCTCTTGGCTTCTGTTCAATTTATCACCCAGTCTGTAGGTACCTGATATAGAGGCAGGGCCTGTATTGAGGGGCATTTTCTGTATAAGGGGAACCTAAGGGGCTCCTAGTTCCAGTGTCCAGGAGGTGCCTCAGTAACACTTCAGTTAGGGGAGCAAAGAGGTGAGGAAGCAGGTCTAGAAGAAAGAACCAACCCACAGTGCCCCCAAAACCCTGTGAAAAGGGCACTCAGGCTCCCTGGAGCAGAGACCTCTGGGTTCTTCCAAAAAGATGGAGGCCAAAGGAAGTCTAGTAGCATAGTGGTCACGAATAGGGCTGCTAATTTCACAGTCAGCAGTTTGAAACTACCAGCTACTCCATGGGAGAAAGATGAGGCTTTCTGCTCCCGTGAAGATTTACAGCCTCAGAAACCCTGTATAGGGTCTCTGTGAGTCGGAACCAACTCTACGGCACATAACAACAACAACAAAGTTTTCCAGAATGGTAGGGTTTATGGTATTTGTACAACTTATACCTTTCTATTAAGGGCAAGGTATAAGAAGAAAAGCTCAAGAACAAACGCTTCTTGTGTGTTGTGGATACTCTTCAGGACAAACTCAGAATTAGTTATGGATGAATTGTTACTGTCTGAGAGGCAGATTGATCTTGGTGAGGTTTATACAACTCCATAAAGTTACCAAAAATTATTGAACTGTCCATTTAATATGGGTGGATTTTATAGTCCATACACTAGAACTTAGAAAACATGTTAAAAAATAGAAAAACAAGTTTTATTTTTTGATCTTTAAAATTAATTCAGTTAGCATTTGAAGAAATAAGATGTTAGGGCTCTTAGGGAAAGCAGTACATTAGTAGGTATGACAATGTGTCTGTTGTCAAAACTGAAAACAAACCCACAGTGATCAGTTCGATTCCAACTCAGAGAGACCTGTACCTCTGTTGTCAAGGAGACTGCCGTTCCTCCTGTCGTATTTCAAACTCTCAGCTCAGGGGGGAGGGATGGAAGGGCAAAGTGCAGGGCATTTTAAGAGCAGTAAAGCTATCCTTCAGGATATGTGTTATGTTAGTGGACACATAACACTACGCATTTGTTAAACACAAGAGTGGACCCTAATGTAGACTGTGGGCGTTAGTCAATGATAATGTGTCATTATTGGATCATCAATTGTAGCAAATATTTCACAGAGCTGCAAGTTGTTAAGAGGTGACTATGTGTAGGGAGAGGAAGGGGTATATAGGAACCCTTTGTCTTCTGTGCAATTTTTCTGTGAGCCTAAAACTGCTCTAAAAGGTAAAGCGTATTTTTTAAAAAGCCAATCACAAGACAGCGTCTGGTATGTGCAAAATATAAAGAATTGTTGTTGTTGTTAAGTGCTGTTGAGTTGGTTTGGGGCTCATAGCTATCCTGCATAGGGTTTCTGAGGAGCAGCTGGTGGGTTTGAACTGCTGTAAAACAAAACAAAGCTGTCAGGAAATCTCTTACTGTGCTCAGCATTGGTTAGAATATAGATCCTCTTTTCACAACTTAAAGGCAGTAAATGCATGATTTGTGGGTCCCCTTGGGCTTGCTAAAGAGGTCCTGGGTGCATACTGGGTTATAGTTGGGCTGTTAATCATTAAGTCAAAGATCCACACCTACCAGCTATTTGGCAGGAGAAAGATAAGGTTGTCTGATACCATAAAGAATTACAGTCTTGGAAACCCTGTGCAGGGTAGCTATGAGTTGGAATTAACTCAATGGGTGGGTCTGGGCATTTTGTTTGTTTTTTTTTTTTTGGGGGGGGGGTGGTATTGCTAAGAAGCTGGAAAGTAGAATTTATGAGGAAAGACAAAAACATTATGGAAAAGAGGGCAAGAGGATTCGGTGTGAAGGATTTAGGGTTCCTTGGTAGTTCCTGAGTCCCTGGTTTCTGAGAGAAGTTATGAGTTCCCCTTGCCTGAAGGTTTTCAAAAATAAGTGAGGCAGCCTTATGCTTGTTAATTCTTTGGAGTGTCCTGGAGAACATGTGGAGGTAAGGAAGAATGACAGTTTTGATCTCATTCTACCTTTATGCATTATTAGAATTACTTTGCCTTTGAATATATACCATTTTACAATTTTTATAGCCTGCATAAAATTCCCTCTAAGTCATCTTCCTATTTAACCATTTCCCTAGTGCTGAACCATCAACATATGAGAATACTATGATAATTTCTTTCTTTCTTTTTTTTTTTTTTTAAATCAAACCTAACTCCCTTCTAATTTATGGTCTGCAATATTATAAATTACAGCCATTTCTAGATATAATTGAAAATTTCTCTCTGTACTTCTGTAAAGGTGCTGGTCTGAGGTTGGGGACCACCATGTGGGACAGAACCTTTCCATTGGCCAGAACTGTGACTACAAGGCTATCATTGAACATGAGATACTGCATGCTTTGGGATTTTACCATGAACAGTCAAGGACTGACAGAGATGATTATGTGAACATCTGGTGGGATGAAATCATTCCAGGTCTGTATGATTCCAACATTGGGTGGAATTTGTTATTACCTTTAACTCTTGCTAAGACCAACTCTGGGATGACCCACTGTGTGTGGGCTGAGGTTTTAGTTTCTCTAGTGGGAACACAGAACATAGTGAGATTGCTGAGTTTCTGAAAGATGTGAGAGGGTAACGTGCCCAGCTTCTAAGTAAAAGGTTGAAGATTTGAATTCACCCAGAGGTCTGTCAGAAGAAAACCCGGTGAAGTACTTCCTAAAAAGGTCAGCTATTGAAAATCATGTGCAGCACAGTTCTACTCTGACACACACAGGGTTGCATGAGTTGGGGCCAACAGCAACTGTTGTATGTGTTTTAATGATGTATTGACTTTTCCCTTGTACTGTGCTGTTGTGATTGATCATAATTGATCCCAGATAAACAGCTCAGGGAATGGTGCATTTTGGCTAACTAAGTTTGTGCTAAACTGCAAGTTTACCTGAAGATTTGCTTTATTTCAGTGTCATTGCAGAAGCTCAATCTAAAATGCATCTATTTTTCCTGTCTTTGTGAATAAAGTGAGTTAGGTTTCTGAGGATATCAAGGTCATTCATGTAGCTTTAGAAGGCTAAGTGAGATTTGGTTTACTAAATGAAGACTCTACTTGCTACAAAGAGCTAAGACTTGACTAGTTACCAAAGGGTTGGGAGTTTGAACCCTTCTAGAGGCACCGTGGGACGTAGCCCTGGAGATCTGCTTCTGAACAGTCATGGCTTTGAAAAGCTATAGAGCACAGTTCTATTCTGACACACACAGGGTCACCATGAGTAGGAGTTGACCAGTGGGTCAACTAACAACAGGGCAATCTTCCAGAAGGTTGTTGATGTTTTTTTTTTTTCAAATCAAAGATAGGTGTTCATCAACAAAATAACAACGAATACTGTCATCTGAAATTTCAAACGCAGTCCTGTTCATTCTCGCTTCTGCTTCCCGCATTAGGTACCATAAGAGTACAAAGGACAACACATTTTTTTTCTAAAATATTATTACTCAGTTGTGCCATTCTAACAACTTTAATGCTCTTTAGTTTTATTAGACTTCTTTGCTGTCTTGAATGGTACCTTAATTAAACACCTAAGTAGGGTGATTTTGAACACACTGAAACACCATTTATTAAACAGTTTCCTAATGTGCTGAGAAAGAGAAGTCAATGCTATGTTTCAGAAGACACATGGTATTTACTTAGGAATTCATTTGGGAAATATAAAAACATTTATTTTTGTAGTAATAGATTAGTGAAGTTGTAATGTGTTAGAAATGCCACAACAATTATCACACATGTCTTTAGGGAAGCAAATAATTGTCTCATGTTTTTGTTGTTAGGCGCTGTCTGTTGGTTCTGACTCACAGCGCCATCCTCACAATTGCTGTTATGTCTGAATCCATTATAGCTGCCACCATATCATTCTATCTTATTAGGGGTCTTCCACTGTTTCTCTGACCCTCCACTTTTCTAAGCATGATGTCCTTCTCCAGGGACTGGTCCCTTCTAACAACATGTCCAAAGTTGTTTCTATGGAAGCATTCTGTTTCTAAAGAGCATTCTGGCTGTACTTCATCCAACATAGATTAGTTTGTTCTTCTGGCAAGCCATAGTACTTTCAATAGTCTTTGCCAACACCATAATTCAAATGTGTCAATTCTTCTACTGACTTCCTTATTCATTGTTCAAATTTCATATATTTGAACAATGAAAGTACCATGGATTGAATTGTCTCATACATTTCAAATTTTATATATGGATTCATGTATTACAATGAGCCTATATTAGTTTCACACGAAAGAACTGGCCACTTTAAAATGAATATGAATCCTTGAAAGTTTTGTGCTGGATCTAACTTATTTTGTAGTAGGGTGGATCCATTGCTGTCTATCAAGATAGGGATTGTTGTTGTTAAGTGACATCAAGTCTGTTCTAACATCTAACATCAAGTCTATAGTGACCCTGTTAGGTTTTCCAAGGAGCAACTGGTGAGCTTGAACTTCCAACTTTGCTGTTCAAACTGACTTTGCAGTCCAGCACATTAACCCACAGTGCCACACCAGGACTCCAAGATAGGAATAGCATAGTGGTTACAAACCAGGCTGTAAACTGCAAGATCAGCAGTTCGAAACTACCAGCTGTTCCACATGAGAAAGATGAGGCTTTGTCCTCCTGTAAAGATTTACAGCCTCGGAAACCCTATAGAAGATTGCTATGAGTCGGAACCAACTCCATGGCACATAACTACACCACCACCACAATCATACTGAAATCACTTGTAGGGTTTTCTTAATCTGTATCTCACCTGCCCATTATATTCTGCTAATTCTAGGAATGTGGAGTAGTGGGAAAGGAGAAAAATTATGTGGTTTATAAAAGCCTAGTAGATCACCAGGATTGGGCCTCTCCCACTAACTCCCACATGCCTTACCATTCAACAACTATTGGTGGTGGTTATGTGCCACAGAGTTGGTTTAGAATCATAGCGACCCCGTACAGGGTTTCTGAGGCTGTAAATCTTTATGGGAGCAGAAAGTCTCATCTTTCTCCCACGGAACAGTTGGTAGTTTGGAACTACTGATCTTGAGGTTAACAGGCCAACTCATAACCACTATGCTACCAGAGGTCCTTGAAAAACACTGTATGTAGTATTTTTAAGATAGCTAGGTACAGGTCTAGCAGTGAGGATCCCTTGTTTTGAGTGAGCCAGCACATTTGCTGAGGTTATTTGCAGACTTGTTCACAGCTGGATTGAGTACAAATTCTTCAACCCATATTTGCTCATCTCTTATCTATATTTCCAGCAGTTGTTATTCCATATATCTAAAATGCCTGCAATAACTGGAGAACTGTTCTCAAAGGACATATCCAACAAGATTATAAATGAAATGCAATATTATTTTTCCAGATAAGAGCTTTATAGTACTTTCATTTTCAGTAAATGACAATCATAGTTTAACCTAAGATATGTTCCTGGTAACATAGTTCTCTTCCCAAGTTCAGCTACGTTTTATGGGTAGGAATTCTGTTTTCTGGATCTTTTCCTTCTCACTGAGGAAATAACTCAACTTCTGAGGTTTAGCAGGGGTTGACAAACTACAACTATTGCTCATGGACCAAATATATCTGCTTTTGTGAAGAAAGTTCTATCAGAAGGCAGCCATATTCATTCATGTATATATTATCTACGGTTGCTTTTGCACTATACCACCAGAATTCAGTCATTGCAACAAACACTTATATGGTCTGCAAAGTAAAAAATATTTCATATCTGGCATTCAAAAAAAAAAAAAATTGTGATCAGTCCTGGTTAGAGGATTACTCACACTTCAAGACTTTCAGTTGTGAGTTATTGAGGGCAGGAATATAGAAGCCACATTTCTTGCAAAGGCCCAGCATGATACCAGTTGATAGTTGTTGTTAGGTACTGTTGAGTCAATTCTTGAATGAAACAGTGTGCAGTTCTCCCCTATTCTCACAGTTGTTGTCAAGTTTGAGTCCATTGTTGCTGCCACTGTGTCAATCCATCTCATTGGCATCTTCTTCTTTTCAATGATCCTCCATTTTTATCAAGCATTA